AACATTTCTTTCTTTCTTTTTTGTTCAGCTTAAAATGTTCCCTCTGGGTGTTATGCTGATGGGAAATAGCATGTTTGCAATTACCTTTTTGAAAAAAAAAAAAAAAGACAGAAAATTGACAGAGAAATAACTCGGATCATCAGTTAAACAGTGTAGCCTTCTAGAATATATGGGCTATATAAGACAGCACGTTTATAGCATTTATAAACGAATAGACCAAGCATGCACTTATTTGTTTTGCTCTTTCTTTCATAAAAAAAAAAACGTAATAATACGCAGTACATGTAACAGTACACACACACACACAAACATATATATGTATGATTGCAGTAAAAAACCTTCTCATGATCATTAAAATTCAAGTAAATGGTTTCATATCTCATAAATATGTCTCTGATAAATACAAACTTTATTGGACAAGGGTTTAAATGACTCTTTCAAGTTATGCTACACTGATTTCAGAAAAATAAGAGCTGCAAACAACATCAAATTAAGTGTCTGCTAATTTTTGTTCACAAGTGTAGCTTGAGAGAGCAGAACCCTTCCTTCCTGACCCCCTGTCTTGGATGATTCTCTGGAAGAGAGACAGTTGTTTTCTTTGGAAAAGGATTCATACTTCAATAATAATGTAGCGGATGTCGAATGGTCACATCTCATACTAATATTTTTAAGCATTGCTTATTTTAGTTTGACACTTACGAGAGTGTCATGAAGATTTGTGTTCCTGCAGCGAAGAAGCACAAAGCAAATGACAAAGACACAATGAACACTGTAAATGGTCAGTTTATTCCAGCATTTTGACCTTTGAAATGTTTCGGTTTGTTGCCTTTTTAGGAAACATCCTAATGTGTTGAAACATAGATTATGTACATGAATGATGGTATGATCCAGACATGCAATCAAGTTGTCATACAAAAACATTTATACATACAGTACGCATTGGTAGGAGGCATCTCCTGTCTTTTACTTTTTAATTAACACTTCTTTTTACAAACTGAACAGCTTCTCACCAACAGGAATGTGAATCAGAGCTGATGAGTGATTATTTCAAAGCTTTGTCAAGATGGAGTTTGATTGGGAAAGGGGGGGGGGGTACATGAGAATGGATTTCATTAAAATAGGATACTCCTCTCATTGAACAGTGTAAATGTGCATACTCAGTACCAGGTGTCTACTTTTTTCCCGCATTGCAGTAAGTGTCATGAATCCCGGTTCAGTACAAAATTAAGGTAAATTTGAGGCCTTATGACAATGATTATCTCTGCTACAGTTCAATCATTATTCTTGCATACTGAGTACTATAGCATATTATTAAACAGTAGCATGCAGTATGCAGTCTAGACCTTGAAGCAGGTGACCCATTTCAGGAGTTTTGCAAAGTGATGGCAGTGGAAGCGTATGAGTGACAAATGAATAATTGGGAAACTGTGTCATAAATATAAAGCTAAACAGACAGAAACAGTTAATTAGAGGGTGTAACTGAGTGAAAGTAAGTAGAAATTTTTTTTACAGGACCTGTGACCTTTAGAAAACCTACATTCTTGGCTGAGATTGTGTCAAGGAGGCAATAAAGCCTGAGGAAATGCTGTCACCAATCCATCCATCACAAAGCTCTGGAACTGAACCAGACGTATCTGCTATGGTGTGTGAAGTATGATAGGGGAGTGAGACATTACTCATCACTGCAAATCTGGGTCCTAAAACTCCTTTCCACAGAAAAGGGTTCAACAGCTGCTCCTGCTGCCAGTTGAGTATACAATTACTTTTTGAGAGGCATAAATCAATTAACATTTTTTCGTCAAAACACCATCAGGCAGGCTATCTTTCGCGATGTGCTGGAAGTGGTTAATTAGCCACAATTGCAATAAGAGAGACAAAAATACCTGTATTCTTCACAAGAATATATGGTCAACAGTCATGAACAGTAAAAGTGTTACCCTCCAATTACAATACTGATATACACACCATAAAGTGGCTTAAAGGGATAGTTCACCCAAAAATGAAAATTACCCCATGATTTACTCACCCTCAAGCCATCCTGGGTGTAAATATATTGAAGCCCCAAAAAGTGCTTCCATCCATCATACAAAGCTTCGCGGACATGCTCCATACATGCTCAGTAGATCAGCTTGAACAGTAAACAAACATGTGTACTTGTCCACCTCCGCGCACACTCTCCGATGACGATTTTTACATCACGCATACCATAGCGGACACTAGCGGACTCGCGCATGCGGAAAGTATAACACAGGCTTTACTGTAGAAGAAATAACCATAATATTTGCACAGTTTTTATTTACAGTAGCAACCATGTAACTGTAAAGTAAAACTCACTAATTTGCATGTACAACTTTTTTTCTTGCCTTTTTGTGCTTATTACACAGGACAGTGTAGCAATTGGTGTGGTGTGGATAGAGGGGAATCTGATCAGCAAAGGACCTCAAGCCAGGAATCGAACACGGGTCGCCAGAGACACAGTTGCACATGTCAGTGTGCTAACGACCAGACTATCCGTACCAACAGGTTTCATTGCTGTTTAGTTATATTGATTCAGCCAAAAAAAAATAAATAAATAAAAAAATGAAACAAATCATGCATGTTGCATGATTTAAATATTAATAATCATTTATCAACAGTCACAGTTAAAGGGATAGTTCACCCAAAAATGAAAATGTGATGTTTATCTGCTTATCCCCAGGGCATCTAAGATGTAGGTGACTTTGTTTCTTCAGTAGAACACATATGATGATTTTTAACTCCAACTGTTGCAGTCTATCAGTCGTATAATGCATGGCAATGGTAACAAAATCTATGAGAGTAAAAAAAACATGCACAGACAAATCCAAATTAAACCCTTCGGCTCGTGCCGACACATTGATGTCCTAAGACACGAACCGATCGGATTGTGCCAGAAACCGAACAGTATTTATATAATTTTTTACCTCTAATACACCACTATGTCCAACTGTCTTTGGGCGCGCGCACGGCATCCGGTGCGTGAGGTGTGTACGCGCTCTGGCGTAGTTTACGCAAGTGCCGGAAGTGATCTCTCGCGCGTATACGTCACTCATTGTTTACACATATTTTTTTTTTTTACAGCACATTGTTGGTTACTGTAATTTTCTACAGTACATAATTGGTTATTGTGTTTTCTACAATACATTGGTAATTACTGTGATTTTCTACATTACATAATTAGTTATTGTGTTTTTTAAAGTACATTGGTAATTACTGTGATTTTCTACATTACATAATTAGTTATTGTATTTTCTACAAGACATTGAGAGACACAGAGTGTCACAGTAACCAGCATTACTGTGACACTCACAGTACTTCTTACAGTACTGCAATTTTGACTGAATCTACGGTATTCTTCTGTGATTTAGTATACAGTAAATTCCTGTGCACAAACAGTAAATTACTGTAGATTTCACATGTGTTTTTTAGTGTGGAGGACACCGGCCCTCCAGGACCAAGTCTGGAGACCCCTGCGCATCCTCCGTCATACACTGCAATGGCGGATATTTTGATTTCACAAACGCATCGCTTCACTTCAGAAGGCCTTTATTAACCCCGGAGCTGTGTGGAGCACTTTTTATGATGGATGAATGAACTTTATTTTGCTTCAAAATCTCGGCCACCATTCACTGCCATTATAAAACTGGGAAGAGCCAGGACATTTTTTAATTTTCCGATTGTATTCGTCTGAAAGAAGAACGTCACATACACCTAGGATGGCTTGAGGGTGAGTAAGCGATGGGGTAATTTTCATTTTTAGGTGAACTATCCCTTTAAGACATCATAACAGCATTCACGTTTACATGCACTGTCCACTTGTGCGGAGCAGAGCAAGCAATTTCAATTCTTTCCTATGGGAGTAAAGCTTCACGATCACCTGATGAATTGTGGGATTGGCAGAAAGCATTAAGTGTGGCCAAGAGCATCAAAAAATTTTTTTTGTGCAAAGATCAAGCAAAAAACACTTATGATGACGATTAAATTGGCCATGCACTGAAATAAACCAGTTCATACATACTTTCACCAGACACACCCCAAAATGGAGGCATTGTAGTGTTTGGAGCGGAGTTCTGCTGCTGTAGTGGACATTTACCGTAAGTCAGATTAGATGCCATATTGAATTTAAAGTGGATAAAAATGAGGCTGTGAGAGACAGACTTACAGTCTTTACAATGGTACACTGTATAATTGTCCTAGATTACATAGTTTTCACAACTTAAAACATTTAAAACTGTTTTATGGAGTTTGTTTACCAAGCTTTTTATCAGCAAGAATTTTCATCAGCTGAACAGTTGTTAAACAACAGTACAATCCATTGAACTTCTATCCCTCACAGCCTTGTTTTCACTCCTGTCAAAAATTAAATATGGCGCTACCCTGACTATTGTCTATTAAAGTAAAACCACATGTACAGTCTATATGCTAAACAGGACATGTAAATGTGAATGCTGATTTTGCATCTGATCTTCTACAAATAACTTCCTCACATAACCGGCTTTCTGATGTGCATGTAAACGATGTGTCATAGAGAAATTGACTGCAAGCAACTTCCAGGGCTACAACCCGTTAAGATGGTTGCTCCAATTTCCATGTTTGGAAATGAATATACTGTATAACACTCAAGAATCCATACTGCTGAATTTTGAGGTTGATAAAGAAGTCAATAGAACTCAAAGAAATAAATAAAACATACAAAAGTACATAAAGGTAAATAAATAAATTCCATGATAAAACAAAACTATTTGTACATATTTTAAAATTTCTATAAACCTTCAGAGTTTACTGTAGTGAATGAACTGCTGCACATCAAACCCTTTACTTAACTTCACTCAATTTTCCAAGTATCAAAGACTCTTTGTTCTTACATTAGCGATTTAAAAAAACAAATGTGAACAAATGTAATCATTCAATAAAATGCACATCTTTAATTTTGAATGAAAAGGACTGTTCTTACTCTGTAATTATAATTAGGTTTTGCAAATGTTGGCCTATTTTTAGTGCAGAAACTTTACATACCTGCCCAGACCTGCACAACAGACAAAAATTTAGCACAATGCAATTACATTGGTACTCGCGAAACTTTATGATGTTGTGAATTCCTGGCACACGCAGGCTGTGAGAAGTAAAGCACTAAATAAAACCTGTGAGAAAAACAGTCATGGAAAAACAAACATTTGGCAAACGCTGGCATGTATGTAAAAGAACACAAAAAAGTCTTTGTCTTGTGCAGGCACGTGAGCAGTGTCTTCACTGTTAAAACCTTCCAGGCATGCAGAAAAAAAATGAATACTCTCTAATGCACTGCCAATGACTCACCTGACTGCAGTACATCAACAGCTGTGACAGCAATGACAATTTTTATGGAAACACCTTTGTCTGTCCTTTCCAGGTGTCCTCAGTGCAGATCTGGTTATTAGATGCACATCAATACATGTCTCTGCCTCACTTATTTCTTCAAACAGACAGGAAACAACAGTCAGAATGTAACAAGATGTTAGACAGCTCTTAGAGACTTCATACAGGAGAGGGCTGGAGTGACATTGAGATAACATCTTCCCTCTGCTCCAGAATCAGCCAGATAGCTGCAGGCTTTTCTCCTGTCCTCACCCGCTGGGGGCTCACCGGTCCAAGAGAAGAGTGAACATGAGAGATGAGAAGAAGATACAAAAGAAAGGAGACAGAAGTGTCCAGCATTAAGAGGGGACAGACAGCATTGCCAGCTGTGGAATAGAAACCGGTATTTCCCCACAGAATGAAATGTGTGGCTTTAAGAATTTAATTTTCCCTCATATAGGGCACAATACTGGAGCTTTAAAATGTCTAGAGCCCTCCATAGAGGCTTATAAGAGGTAGGGGGAAGCCGGCCTGTTCACCACAGTTGTGAAGGGTGAAGGGTCATGACTTCCCCATAGTAGTTCAAAGATCAGCACTGAGAGTGAGGAGTGAGGATGAGGTGGTAAGGCAGGATAAAGGGATGCTAGTGGACGTCCCATGATCCAGTGATGCTACATGGTAGAAAGTTGGTTGGGTTTTGATGATGGAAGATCCAGCAGTGCCTGTACAGTGACACCAACCTTTACCAGACCTCGCTCCTCCAGGATGTGATGCGGCAAACACAACATGTCCTGTTCATAAACAAAAGTAAATGTAAGCATAAATATAGATCAATGGCAGATTTCATAAATCTATGATACCCCATTAAAAAAGATGATTAAAAGACGGTAAAACAAACATAAATTTGGCATTAAAGCATTATAACACACTACTGTTCAAATGTTTGGGGTCGGTAATATTCATGAATATTTTTGAAAGAAGTCTCTTCTGCTCACCAAGGCTGCATGTATTTGATCAAAAATACAGTAAAACAGTAATATTGTGAAATATTATTACAATGTCAAATAACTTTTCTATTTAGATATATTTTAAAATGTAATTGTAAATGTAAAAATGTAAAAAAAAAAATTGCATTTTAAAATATATTTAAATATATTAGTCATTACTCCAGTCTTCAGTGTCACATGATCCTTCATAAATCATTCTAATATGCTGATTTGCTGCTCAAGAAACATTTACTATTATTACAAATCTTGAAAACAGTTGTGCTGCTTAATATTTTTGTTGAAACCATGATTAATTTTTTAGGCTTTTTATTAGGTATTTTATAACATTATAAATGCCTTTACTCTTACTTGATCAATTAATGCATCCTTTCTGAATAAAAAATATTAATTTCTTAACAAAATCCTACTGACCTTTGAACATGTATGGATAATGAATGGATACATTTTCATCTTAACATTTTTATGCATAAATACACAGCTTACTTGTGCACAGCAACTCTCTTAAATGCAGTCAATTGATTTTCAAGAGAAAATGTTAAATCTTGCAGGGTTAAATCTTAGAAACTATCAATATTTCTTTAAGTAAAAGCTAGATGATGTTGTAATTGTAAAATATGAATTTGATACTGATTTTAAAAAGCAGATACAAGCTGAAAACTGATATGGCATTTGTAAAAGGAAGAAACACTCGGTCCTACCTGTGGCACTCCAAGCTTTTTACATGCATCCAAGAAATTCTCAACATTCCGCCGACACTTGGCCATACTCAGCTTTGGCTGGTCGAGGGATTGTGGACAGAAAGTGTCACATCAAACAGAACCATGAAACAACAAGCAATTTATGTGCTAGTTTCGAATGCTGAATATTTACTAATGAATGTAAATTAAAGTGCAGAAAAGATGATTTCATTTAAAAGGAGATCCAAGAAGGTCTGTATGAAACATTCAGTGAAACTTACCACAGCAGGGGAAGGTACATGAATGCTAGCTACAGAACGAGGACGAATGTGATTAGCCAGATGGCATAAAACAACACCATCCATCAAAGCAGCACCCACATCGTCTGGCAACAAAACCTTTAGCCTAGACTCTAGGTTCTGCAAACACATACAAACACTCAGTTTACTTCATTTGATTCCAAATAAAGGACAAGTATATCATGTGAACCAAAAATCATCCATTTGCTAAATGTCAAGATAAGACGTCTGTGCTCTTTTCAGTCATTCCGGCTATCACATGGGTGGCCCTTCAGCACCAAGGACAGCATAGAGCTGAGGTGGAGGTTATGAAATTGGACATGATAGGAAATCATTAGCAAGGAAAGGCAAGCACTCTACAGCTTCAGTATCAGTGAATCTCCCATTCACTTCTTACATGGAAAACTAGTCTGTAGACACCCTATAGATGCAGTTTTGTTTTACTTATGATCTGCCTTGCCGTGTCCACGTCTAAGGCAGCATCCTAACTGAAGCGGAACCTTCTACAGTAAGTAACGAACTGAAAGCTCTACACAGGCAGCAACTCAAATAGTGTGCCATACAAATAGCATTCCTCATGTGAAGCGCACATGAAAGGTGGTTTCAATCCATATACAGTGGGTACGGAAAGTATTCAGACCCCCTTAAATTTTTCACTCTCTTCAACACCTAATCATCATCCCTTTCCTTAGAAACTTTTTTTTCCAGCCCTGTATGATTACATGGTACTAATTGTTGGCTGAAATATATGTGCCCTTTCTGGCATCATGACTCAACAAGTAGAAATAACACTGTTGGTAAGAGCTCCCAGTAGCAAGTAGAAACATAGAGCAACTAATATAGAAAACTGATGAAAGAAAGCACTGTTATCCCACGTGAACTCTGACAACATTAATGACATGCTGATAAACAGAACTGTTTTATCTGTGTGTTTAATTAGCTTCGCTTGGCTTACCCTAGAGATATGAATCAATCATTTTTCATTATACTTTGGCAAATACGCCAGAGGGGTTACGGTGGAATTCTGACCTGCTGCAAGAGTCTGATCTGCTCCATCTCCTCTCTGAGGTGCTCCATTTTTCTCCTCATGGTGAAGCTTGGTTCTGTGGAGCTAAAGTCTTGACGATTTCCACGGGAGAACGCTGAGGAGTAGACACATAGTCAACATCATTATCATGTTCCTCTTCGTTGCAAGCTTCCCCTAATAAACTAACCTGTTTGATCTGAGTCTGGGAAATCTTTGAATTTTTACATGGCGTAAATGTGGTCACCAAGTGTCTTCTTTCTGTTCATTAGATTTGAGGACTCCCATCGCTGCCCTTCAACAATAGATCAACAATAGTTCTGACTAATTAATAATAATGAAATTTACTTTAGAATAGCTCCATAATCAATATTTTTCCTCAATTTGTTGTTGCTGCCCTAGTTAAAATGTGCATTAACACACTTTCATGTGGAATAAAAGTGTAAATAAACTCCGATATAGACTCTTTTGTCAAACTATGTTCAGGTTCTTTTTTTGTTCAGGCCAGACAATTATTTACTGGATGAAATTACATTAGACTTCCACAACCATTAAAAGAAAAAAACATTGACTCTTCTTGCCCCCATCCCCCGTCTTGCTTGCAAATATAATTGACATAAATGATAAAACGGGAAGCATTTGTGAGAATGATAACATTGCAAAACAAGCGGTTTTACTGTTGTATGCAGCATAATTCTTATTGTATTTCTGTGAGACAGGAAGTACTGGCCTTCCTCTTGTGCTTTCCACTGAACTGCAATGTCATGAAAAAAATTAAAAAGAAATGATAAAGAAATACAACTAGTTCAAGACGATATCTTTCCAAAGAAAAATTGTTCTTGACCTCCAAACTTCCATTAAACAAAGGTGAGGAAGAGTATTTTTGAAATGACAGACATCATGAGATTTGAATACAGTCTCAAAATAAGATGTCTGTGGAAAAAATACTGTTTTGTAGTTCAGAGCTTCAAAGCTGACTTCAGACATGATGCTTGTTTAAAGTGTAATTGAAAGTGTTTTTGTCTAACACGGGGGTGTCCAAACTCAGTCCTGGAGGGCCGATGTCCTGTAGAGTTTTGCTCCAACTTGCCTCAACACACCTGCCCTAAACTCTGCAGGACACCGGCCCTCCAGGACCGAGTTTGGGCACCCCTGGTCTAACACATCAATACAACTTTGATTGCTCAGTTACACTGAAAAGAAAATGCTTTGCCAAGCTGCCAAGCCTTGGCAATACCATCATAAAGATTAAAGAAAAAAGACAGCTTGTGATGAGAGAAAGGGAAAGGACAACACTACCTGATCTGGGTTTCAGGCCAAAAACAGTCAGAGTTGTGGTGAAATCATTAGATCGCATTCCCTCCTGTAACAACACAAATATGGAATCACTGCAAACAATTCTGATGGATTTTGTAATGGATTCAGATTCTTCTGACTGAGATGGTCTTTACACAGATGTTTCTCTCTCTCATGAACTTTGTAAATGTAGTATTGTACTTCAACAGAATGAGACAGGGCTTCCCACAACTTTTGACCAATGAATTACCATAAATTTCACAAAGAGCCGATCTGATGAAATATTTAAAGCTGAGCATAACTTAAAAAATATATATTGACTACAGACATTTCTTTGGTTGAAATCTATACTTTCTTGAAAAGTGGTAATGAAAGTGGTTAAGGAAAATGAAAATTGTATGCTTATGTTGCAGCTAGTCTTATTAGCTAAAACTATGATTTAGAAGTCTAGACAAGAAGTGAAAAAATGGGAGTGCCTATCAAAGAAGTGAAGAAAACATGCAACATGCTATTTTTTATGCATTTGTTAACACATAAATATGTGTCATTTTTTAAAAGGGGTCATGAAATGTAAAATCAAAATGTTCAAAAACTAAAAAACTACTTTTGTAATAAATGTTAAACCAGTGTTTAACGCTATTAAGACACCAAGCATATCATTGTTTGAGTGTTGCTAAAAAAAATCAGTACATACCCACGTACATACATTGTCTTTTGTAATACAAGTAACAATAGTACTTTTAAAACTAGCTACTGAAAATGAAGCAAATAAGCAAGCAAAAGCAATTACCACGCTGAAACGGACTGTTGCAATTGTGTAAGGGTGTTTTTCACAAAAAGTGATTTTTACGAATATTGGACCTGCAAAAAACTTTCCCAAGTGATAATGTCCATATTGGGCAGGATGCCATCCCACTCACAATGGGAGGCACCTGAGGATCATTTTAGCTTGGGATTTTGCCTCAGGTGTGTGGGGCATCAGGTGCGTAGAGGGAATTTCTACTACATTTACTACTTTATCTAATCTAAATATCGCAATTTCTTAATTTTTCATGACAGTGAGAACTGAGCAGAGTGACATGTAGACAGTCACGAGTCGACACAAAGTCTCACCTCACAATCATTGTCATTGCCACTGGAGTTTCTTCGAGCACTTTGGCACTTATACTGGAATAGAAAACACAGGGAGACAGAGGATCAGATTCCTGATATTCATCACATTATCAGCTTTTAACATCAGAATTGCATTAAACAGGGCAATGGTTCTCAACCATATTCCTGAGCCCCCCAAACACTGCATATTTTACATGTAGGTCTTGGGAGTCTCCGCTAATGAGCTGATGCTCTGAATCAGGTGTGTTTGATTAAGGAGACATACAAAGGCTGCATTTACACTTGGCATACACATACACATTGAAAAGACAAGTGTAAATGCGATTCTGATCAGAATGTTATCTGATCAGCATGTCCTGGTCCAAAGGTAGTCGAGGACGCATTGTGATCGGATCTCAGTGTAATGTAAATGCAATCCAGCCATCGTGTCTGCATTCGCAGGTTGACGTCACGCAAAACCCCACCCCTCACTCTCAGAAGACTTATTTAAATATTGCGCAGGAAATATAGATCCGATCGGTCATCCAGATAGAGAAGTCACTTGATATTGCCAAGTGTAAACGCGCCGTGACCTGATTGACTGATGATTCGATCTGATCACGGTGATCGCGTGTTAATGCCAAGTGTAAATGCAGCCAAAATGTGTTGGAGGGGATCTAGGAATTTGGTTGAGAACCACTGGTCTAGAGATAAAAGGATAAAATGCTGACTCTATCACCACTTTAAATCTGGCTGAAACTAGTCTAGTCATACTCTTGATAACCTTACATTCAGGAGCAGACGTGTATATTTGGTTTATTTTCTGTTTTATGTGAAATAATCAGTACTTTTGTACTGAAATTCTGATCACAAAATTCCAAGGCGATGCAAAATTCACTTTTACATGGTGTTTGCATAAATGTGTCTTAGCAGTGTGTGGACACAACCACCCTACAATGATAAAAATCCATTCACTCCTTTTTTAATCCCCAAAAATCCTTTTTTATTTTCTGAGCAATATGACATCATACTGCTCAGGCCCCACCCATGACCGCTGACAGACTGCCCCATATTAGCATATTCCCGCCCTCAGCTAGTTGTACGCTGTCCACCATTTTCTCCAACAATATTTGACAACAATGTCTCGTAAGCAATGCAGGTGTTTTGTAGTTGGATGTAAAAGTGAACATAAGAGTCTTCATTTTCTCCCGACATCAGAACCACTGAGGAAATTGGATTAGTTTTGTTTTTGATGGTAACGCGCCACCGAATACACAAAAAACTGAAGATAGGGGCGGGGTGAGCAGAGCTCTTTATCATTTAAAGAGACATGCACCGAAACGGGTCGCTGTGAACAGAGCTGTTTTTGACAAGATAAAAAGAGTGTTGTTTTACTAGACCATTGAGGAATTTTAACCAAAGTATTACAGACATTTCATGAAGAGCCTTAAGAATCATACCAACTTGTGGAAAAGGGCATCCGATGTCCCCTTTAATATACTTTTCAACCATTTCTTTAACACTAGAACCGCCACGGGGTAAATTTTACCTGTGGCTGTTTTTCAAATGTACATAACAGATTTTCAATAAAACATTCTAGTCTCCCAGTCATTGACTTTTAATAAAATTGTGTAATTTACAATCCCCTGGTTGTAAAAATTGTTTAGATAAAACCAGATCAAAAAATGTGACATTTATACCTATAAGCGCCAGCGTGGGTGAAATTTACCAACTATATAATGCCTGTATTTTCACGACGCTTATGTTTTAACATTGCACATTGACAGGCAACACCTTTCACTCACTGAATTAGCGGTTATCAGTTTCATAAATAAAGTCACAATGAGTAAAAGAAGGCGATTTATGGATGCCGAAGAGGTATTAGAAGCACTGAATGATAATAAGTGATGCGTCCTGGGACTCAGCATCTGACGGCTCATCTGACAGCGATCCAGATAATATATTTAGATGTTTTAGCCTACTCATAAATGTTCAAACTTTGGATTCATTAGGCTATTTAATTTTTGTTTTGCCATTTCTATCGTTTATTGTTCCCTACTGTGTTGCTATTTATTCTAGTCTGCCCGTTTCCTGAAGAAAAAAAAAGATCTATGATGTAAAAAAAAAACAACAACATTTTTTTTATTACCCGAAGCTTATTGGTGTTGTTCTCTTATTCAAATTATAAATGACATAACTAAACAAATTAATAATTAATTAGGTGAGGCTGTGCGCTTTAATTTGTCATCGCATCATACATCCTATGCGTGGTGAATTATTATTGCTCATTATTGTCTATATGCTATTTTAGTAATTTAAATAACATTAGTTATCTTAATATATTGATGACATTGTATTATAATTTTTCAGAACCCAAATATGTATTTACTTCCTTCTAATTCTCGTTGTCAGTGCAGGCTTGTTTAGCTTATATTGACCATTATGAAAAGTGATTAGTGTAGCCTACATAAAAAAAGCCTTGAACATAAAACAAAAGGACAAAAATATAGTTTATGACCAGACATAATCATTTCATGACTTCTTTGTTAAGACAGTGGCATAATACAGTAAAATAATATGTTCTTGTAGCCATATCAAAACAGTAGTCATGCACGTGGGTAAAATTTACCCGCTGGCGGTTTTAGGTATACAACGACCCCTGGCGGTTCTAGTGTTAATTAGGGTTGGGTACCGAAACCCGGTACCAATATGGCACCGGTACCAATATGTAACCGGTATGTACTAGAACCGAATCCGAACGCAGATTTCGGTTGCACTCTCTATTCTATTTCTATTCTAATGGCCAATCCATCATTGTTTGGGGGAATTTTTATTTATTTATTTATTTTTTAATAAGTATCTGTTCAGGCACCGGAACCGTTTTAAAAGTATCGATTTGGCACCGGTATCGAAAAAAACCCAAACGATACCCAGCCCTAGTGTTAATGTTTTCTGTTCAACCATTTGTGTGGAATGCCACAAAAGAAATACAATAATAATAATAATAATTCCTCACAGTGTTATTGTTGTGGTAAGATCCATTTCAGATTAAAAAAATTATATGCGATTTACCGCTTAATATGCCAATCAGAAAGTCTCTTACTGTCTAATTAGGCAGTTATTGGCCAGAATAAGTTGTGCTATGGACCAGATATTTTACAATTAGTTAAATGTCTGGTCATAGACAAGCACAATGATATTACAAATATACCTTAAATACATTCAATGAATCAGTTTCTTTTTCTGATTTGCATTTTCTGTGGAAAACTAGGAACCTGTCTGATCCAAATTGATTCACTGACATGAATTATTATAATATGAATTAGTCATATTAGTCACCTTAATATCTTGATTTGAATGGCTACTCATTATTCTAGCTCACTTTCCTCTTTCTCTAAGTCACAAAACATTCCTCATTATTTTTAAAGGGGTCATCGGATGCTCATTTTGCACAAGTTGATACGATTCTTTAGGGTCTTAATTAAAAGTCTATAACATACTTTGGTTAAAATTTCTCAATGTTAGTGTAAAAAACACCTTTTTAAACCTGTCAAAATCAGCTCTGTTTTTATCAAGCCATTATAGTCCATGTTGCTTTAAATGTTAATGAGCTCTGCTGGCCCCGCCCCTCTCCTCCGAGCTGCTCTCAGAGAGACTGTTTACTTTAGCCGCATTCATCATGAAACTTGCTAATTAGCGCATTATTAGGAAAGGTGATTTGCAAAGATTCATAAAAAACCCTTATACTCACTTCTGTAGATGAGGCTGGATCACGAATGATTCGGGCGAACATAGACGCATTTAGGCCATTGGTCTTAAACTCAATTCCTGGAGGGCCACAGCTCTGCACAGTTTACCTCCAACCCTAATCAAGCACACCTGATCCAGCTAATCAAGCTCTTCAGGATCACTAGAAACTTCCAAGCAGGTGTGATCTGGAGCTGGTTGGAGCTAAACTCTGCAGAGCTGTGGCCCTCCAGGAATTGAGTTTGAGACCACTGATTTAGGCTGATCGGAACACTGGATGGATTTTTATAATTATAGGATGGATGTGTACCCACACTTACAACATACATTTATGTTCAAACAACTTGAAAAGTGAATTTTGCATCCGATGACCCCTTTAATCAATTAATCTCAGTTGAAAATTGAAACAAATTTGCCTCATCCAACCACATTCTCTTTCACATCTGATAAAGTTTGTTTCTCTGACCAAAGGCAGGGCTGTGTGTTTAAGAAAGTAGTTGTCTCAAACCACATTGACACATTATTAATTATTATTATTAAAATATTTTCTATTGAATTATAAACCAATAAAATAGTATGTTACTGTATTAATAATACTATTTTACTCTAAAATAAAAAACTTAAAATATTTAATAATAATAATAATAAATCTATCAAACAATCAATACTAATACTCATGGCTGTTTTACCTGCTTTGCTTTCAAACGTTTCAAATGCTTTTATTTTGTGGAAAAGGTAGACCTTACAGCTTCTCTGTTGTTGATAACAGATTTATAAATGATTAATTACAAATTTGGGATGATAGCTGGTGTGTTTCATTTTCAGTGGGATGGTAGGGAGAGCACGTTCTCCAGAAAAAATGCAGATGAACTTCATACACAAGATCTCACAATTTCAGGGGCCGATGTCTAATGATCCTTTACATAAGTATGTATCTTTCCTCTGGGTCAAATAACACAGCCATAGCGATTGAATTACCCCATTCAAGAAAGATAAGCATGGAATAAATGGTTGTATTCATGCTTTTTGTTCTGTTTTCTCATTGGTTTATTGTCTTTATTGTTCACAGGAGTGTCATGTGATCCCATTGTTTGATATATATAGCCCTCATGTTTCTTTGTCCATTGTCTAGCTTTGTTTGTGTTACCACTGTTGGTGAGTTTATGTCCATGCTTAAGTTCATGTTTGTTCATGCCAAGTCTAGTCACTGTTCATTTTACATTTGTTTATGGTTTGGACTTCATTAAAACTACACATGGGTTCTACTTCAATGTGCCTCAGTGGATTCATTACAGCAGTGGTCACCAACCTTTTTAGGCCCAAAATCCCTGACCTCGGCCTTTATGAAAGACAAGATCTACCTATTGAAGAATTGATAGAAAAAGACATCCCAGATTGTACTTCAAATTTGAGGCCTTTTACTTAGTATTTTAATTAGTGATGCTCCGATCATAGCTGATTCAGAATTCAGATTTTTTTTTTCTTTCTTTCTTTTTTTTTAACTAGCAAATTGGCTGATTCTGATACTGATATTTAAGCAAATTTATTTATTGGCTATTTGCTTTATAACAAACAAACTGGCTTCAAACAAAAATATCTAGCCATTTGAAATTAGAGGCAACCACTGCATTTTAATCACGATCTGCACAGTCAGTTGTTTTTGATTTGATTTAGATTAATGTCAGGATTTAAAACAAAAACAGAATGGTCTGACTTTAGGTGTTATTTATTTATTTGCTACATAAAACATCTGTACGAAACAAAAACAGCAGGTCTGAATGAGATGCACTCTCTGACAGCAGGTGGCACTAATGAACAGGGTTGCCAGGTTTTCGCAATAAAACTAGTTCAAGCCGCAGGCGGTGTGAACGCACAGTTACAATGAACCCAGCAGTTTCCTTGCTTTGCCTCCATCAAGGGGATCGATGCACAGAGGACAAAGTGGAGGAATTCTGTGGACTCTGTCACCTAGTTAATTTGAATGATGTGGCATTAAAAGACACTTTTTTTGTGATGGGTTAAATGAACCCATTTGTTCATGGCTTCCAGGGGGAGAGATACACTAGTCCCTGGTGAAATACATAGACCATGCCCTTCTGCTGAGCGATTCCTCATTATTGTGGGGACTATGGGTGAGGAACCCCACAATTCTCCAGTACCTACCATGGCAGAGCCTTCAGCCATCATGTCTGATATGCCAAAGTCTCATCACGTCATGGCTGCTACACCGGAGTTTTTCCACGCCCGAACCGTCATGTCAGGATTTATTCACACCACGACCACCAGAGTCTACAGAGCCCATTCACATCATGCCTTCCAAGCCAGAGCCTGTTCACATCTTAGCCACCATGCCTAAGTC